AATGACAATGACAATGACAATAACAAATAAATAAATAAGCAGCATTTTATGAACCGCCCCCGGCGTAGCCTGCGCACGGCTAAAAAGACACCAATGCTCAAGTCGTAATCGTGTATGTAGAACAGCTAAATAGCTATCACCAAGACTATTGCAAACAAGGCTATTGACATGAATTATCACTATATTTTATCACATAGAAATACTATCAACAGTACAATTCGAGGAAAGATGAGAGGCGATATCATTAATAATTTATATATAGTGAAAGAAGGAAAGTGCATAAACTTGTCTTGTTATAAGTCGTAATAACCCAGTAGTTGCTTTTTTGTGACAATTTCGAAATATGAAAGAAAGAAATGCCATTTTTCCATGCGTCTGTACTCTAAAGACACAGAGAAGACTTTCAAAGCACATTCATGCCAATTACAATCTCACCACATTTTGACATCTTCAATGCACCTATTACAGTACAGAAGCTCAAAAATTTGGAATCTGATTATGAAAATTAATTCARTGATTAGCTTGCCTGTTATGGGTTCCTGTGGTGCTGGTGTCGAAGGGACTGTAACAGAGAAAAGAGCAATAATATGAAAAAACCTAGAATGTTCTTTCCCGTCACCTGGTACCATTTTTTTATAATTAGGTATAAATCTCCGCATAGAAGCTAAAACTTTCAATAGTGAACTGAAGAGGTTTTTGAACGAAACTAGTTTTCACTGAATTTACCGTTTATTGTGTACGTTTTCATAGACTTATARAAATATAGAAATATATTCCTACGAGAAGCTAAAATGTTCTCTGCTTTTAAAATATAGACACAGTTTATATGGTATAAACTGTGTCTTTATTTAAAAAAATGATTAAGACTTAAAGATACAGACTTATATATGATACAAGAATAGTAACGCACCTGGTTTGGCTGTGACTCTAACGGAAACGTATTTATTGCAATCGTAAGACGGTGTTACGATGATGCTGGGATCACCCTCGATATTCAATATAAATTTATTTTCTGGATCCTTGGCTCTAAACACAACGTGGCGATGAAGTTCAGGTCTTTTKATGATGGCTTTTAGACGCATGTTTTCGTCTGTAACTAAGTATTCTTGACGCTTGAGACTCGAAGTGATTTTAAAAGGAACACCCGCATTGTTGATAAAGTTGAGAGCAATACATTTTGCTAAAGGATGCAAACACAAAAAGGTTAAACCACATACTAGTACACCCCGATACACATTGTCCAAGAGAAAGAACTTTTGCAACTTTATTTTAGGAATTTGTTCAAATACAAAAGAAAAGAGTCTTCTTGCTCGTGCAATTACTGGGTGTATCTGGATTTCATATCAAACCTATTGCCATACATCGGGTGACATTTGTTTAGTTTTCATCTTTTGATATGCTATAAATGAAGAGACTGAAAAAAGCCCCCCCCCCCCCCCCCCCCCCCCCCCCCCCCCCCCCCCCCCTTATCCCAGACAAAACTACTACCCTAACCCAGACAAATGGGCAAAAAATGATACCCTATCCCAGACTTGGAGCTCCGAAAAAAGGGGACCCTATCCTGCGGCACATACCCGRAAAAAAAAACACAAATACTGCATTAATTTAAAGAATATATATAGGCTTATCGGTCATTAGAAAAGCAAAAAGCTTTAAAAAATATCTCGGATTTTGCTCTCCGAAACCCTGGGACTCTTCAACAATAGCTTTTACTKCAATAGCCTTCATAAGAATAGCCAAAACCACAGAATACAATACTCAGTAAAGCCATTTTTACACAAGTAATTTTTCAGAACGATAGATGTATCACATATCAAAATGCGCCAAATTTCATAAGCTGTTTGAATTTGGCGGTAGGCTTTTCATTAACTAAATAGGTTATGCACGAGACCCAGTTTTTTGAAGCGAACCGTGTTACGCTGGAGAACAACAGACATAAATCGCTCAAAATTGAAGGAAATGGCCTGAAACTTCACAGAAATGCTAAGAAAAACACAATAAACATGTATTTTTGTTATATCTTAAATATTTCTAAAAAGGACACAAATGCCTACAAAGGCGAAAATACACACTTGGATTTTTCAAATTTTCTTACGAMGAATAGTACACAGAAAGGTCACATATATATTTTATTTCATAAATTCGATGGTAGTTTTTTCATTAACTAAATAAGTTATGCACGAGGCCCAGTTTTTTGAAGCGAACCGTGGCCAAAACATGGATCGCCAGGCTATTTTGATGCTCAACTCCAACTCTTCAAAGGCGAAAATACATACTTGGATTTTCAAATTTTCTCACGAAGAATACACAAAAAGGTCACATRTTATATATTTTATTTCTTTACGTGAAGAAAATTGCCGGTTTGTTTACAAACATTTTCACTTGCTAGTTTGTTGTGCGTTTCTTCATTTCGCAAGTTCTACCCTTAATGGCTATCATTTTTTACTTCAGCTCAAAGCAGAATAACTAAAGACACTCATTGTAAGTTTTGTTTCTAAAAAGACCTATAATGTATGCTCAAGTCACTTGAAACCCCCAACCCCCGACCCCAGGGGAATACCAGGGAATATAAAGGGACACTGTCAATGGATGACATGCGCAGTAACAGTCTTGCCTCTAACGGACTTTGAAAGTATTACCTTCGAGGTAAATCAATGTTTGACACACTTTGGAATATTCTAGATTTGTTTACGTTTACGAGTACTTTTTTTGTSATGCGTCGCGCAAACTTGGAGTCGTAAACTTGAAAACATTAGCCTAATCTTTTCAAGTTTACTCGCGCATGCGTGCCATTGACAGTGTCCCTATAACGTTCGAGTGGTGTTATAATAAGACTTTTCCCCGGTAGTCGGGAGCATATCAACTGTTAAAACCCCCGCTATTTTATTAGTACTGTTGCCCCGCTATTTTGGTCTAGTGGTAAATAAAAAAACACCTTTCAATCAAATTTTCTGTAATAGGCAGTGTTCATTTTTGCACAATCCTGTGTACTCATTTGTGTACTACATGAGGCTAACTGGACGGAGAAAAAATGTGCATTAAGTTTCTTTAAAAAAATGTTTAATGCAAGGAAAAATAAGAAAATAAAAAACAGCGTTGAATACCAATGCTCTCAGGGTATTTCTCAAGATGGTATACCTCTAGTTTCCAGCCTCATCCATGTTCAAAAGCGCGTTAAAATCCCCTCTCTTTTCCCCGCTATGATAACAAATCATCAAAATCCCGACCCCCGAGGCAATCTTGCTGTTAACCCTTTGATGCCCGCTTTAGGGATTATCGGTCACCCGAGACCGATGTTTCTGAAAATTGCAAGTTTCCGAGATCGTAAATTAGGACCACCAAATGTATAACACATGACAACAGCTGATAATGAAACTACTCTATCTTACAGTTTAAAACATTTAACATCTAGCACAATATCTGGACAAAAAGGACCCTTTAAGAAAAGGAATTCCTAAATTTCGACTTTGTGGTGCACCGGATAAGGATGAGAATCACGTCTCTTCGTGTTAMGTTTTAGAGTCAAAATCGTCTTTTACAAATCGAAACTCCACGCTTTTTGAGTTTGGCCACCCTACATCTTGAGCATTTTCGAGTTTTTGGTTTGTAAAAGTCTCTACAGATCTAGCCACAGCCCCCTTTTCGAGACAAAGCACAGCAAACCCAGATTTCTCAGTTTCGYGTCCAAGTTGCATCATGGGAAACGTGGTTCAAACTCGACAGGGAGCAACCAATGGTCCTGATTTCATCGATTTTTTTTTAAGTGCCAAGTCACTCGCACCTACAGGCAAAATATTGCACCGATTGSATTCTTTGGATGTTAAAACTTGCCAATTTTACCTTGGTAGGTTCTGAAATCTGCCACAGAACGACTAGGGACGTGACTTTTCTCTAACGTCGGCAATTCAAAGCTAACTTTCGTATTGGCGACATTGTCTTCGAAAAATCGCTTCCCGCCTCTGATTTCTTCCAGAAGAGYGTCTCTGCCGCCTATTCGAGCTTCATAATGCAGTCCTAGGGGCTTCTGTCGCAGCAAGTGACTCGAAAAAAAAAACACTTTAAAACGGTTTTGGGGCGAAGTTCTGGCTAATTTGGCGAGTCGTCTCAAATTCGCCGGGCGTCACTGAAGTAAACAAACTCCTTGTATGGTGTAGATTTAATATTTTGAAATATCAGCCTCAAAAACAACCCAAAATCAACAATAAATCGCGGGCATGAAAGGGTTAAAAGCACGTTAAAAACGCGTCACGTCCCCGTTCAGTGCCCCGCTAGCCCCCCTAYTCTCGTTCCCAGTGTCGTTTTTAATTTTGGAATGGCTAACTATCGGCCGATATCTGAGCCGCCAGAAGGGGTTTATTTACTAAATTCCTAAAATTTCATATGTTTACTGTATCTCTACCCTCAGTACTAAATGCTTGATTGATTAACCCTGTATTAGACCTCAAAACGACAGACAATACAGCGGACCCTGAAGCCTGGTTGAATACTCACTGTTCTGGCTTTTTTTCATTAAAGGCTGTTTGTCTGGTCTCCATTTGTGTCCAGGTATCCCAATATGTGGAGTTTCCAATACACTTTTGCAGTTCTCTTTAGCATTGGCGCCTTTTGGTATTGGTATAAAAGCAAATGTGCAGAGTTTCAAGTAGTCGTCTCCTTTACTAGGGAACATAATGACAATTGCGGTACCATGGATACCACGGTTTTCATTGCTTTCACAAAGGAACCAATTATKRTGAGATGATGCTAAGTTAAACGCTGAAGGGTAAGTAGTAGATTTGTAAGGATAAAGATTCGCACTTTTCCCTGAAAAGAAAATGAAGAATTATCACAAAAATTGCTGTCAGTTAAAATTTGAAAATTGCGGCCAGTATCCATAACAAATTGAAAATATGTTTTGCCTCTAGCTTAGTTAAAAAATAAAATGTCTATTCTGTAGTTTCAGCCATTCAGGAAACTACAGAATAGCCATTCCTGATATTTTCGCCSATGTAAATTCTAGAACCGCGCGCGCTTTGTTTTTAATTTGTACCATTTACACGCGTGTCTACAATAACGGTACTCTTTGTAAACTGTACTGATGAAGTTCCATATCCGGACCGAAACGTCCAGTAAAAATTGTATTTGTTAATCTAGGCAAAAAAAAATAAATTTTAGTATCATTATGTTCAATAGGTGAGGTTTCCTGTGCCTGGCGATTGCTCTCTACGCTGGTCTCAGTTTTCTAGATCTAAGCTTGCTTATCTCGCGCTTTTCAGCTCCCACCGACACGWGCGCCATTTTATATTTCTTAAACAGTTCTTACTTTCTTGAAATTTGTTGTATTTGGATTTTAAGTAATGTTTAAAGGCCGACAATGAGGACTTGACGGGGTTTCAAAGTCCGCGCAATTAGTTCCAGTCCGAGGCGCTAGCCGAGGACTGGGACTAATTGCAAGGACTTTGAAATCCCGTCAAGTCCGAATTGGAGGCCTTTGAACGACTTCAAAAACTCATTAATTATTCGGGAGGGAAAAAAAGCGAAGGAAATACATATAACAGAAATATATTGATTTATTGCATCTCCACTAAGGTTTTCGGTTTTCATAATTTTGAATGCATGAAGCACCGTTTGTTGTTCTTCAATTCCCGGACGGCTTTCTGAAACAAAAGCTATTCAAATTGTCTTTGTCTGCTATTCATGGCATTCCTAATGAGTCTAATCCATAAGATTTATAAGTATGTTATCTTCCGAGGAATCGCATCAGAAACACGGTGGCGTAATGGTATAAGACGGCGCATATAGACTGGACGGTAGAGGATCGAGTCGTGAGGGAGTCATGTATCAAAGACCTTTTTTCACTAAATTAATGTTAAACTGATTATTTCTAATAATTTGATTATCATTAGCTAGTAGTAGTTGGAAACATGGTAGAAGTAACTGGAAATAAGGTAGAAGTAACTGGAAATAATGTAGAAGTAACTTGAAAAAGGTAGAAGTAACTGGAAATAAGGTAGAATACAAGGTACGAGTACTTCCTCTGGTTTCAAGTTACTTCACGWGGTACAAATTACAAACAGGGATTGGCTGAATACCTCATGAATAATTAATGAGTTTTTGAAGTAATGTTGAAAGTCCGACAAAGAGGACTAGACTGGGTTTCAAGTCCGCGCAATTAGTTCCAGTCCGAGGCATTAGCCGAGAACTTCAACTAATTGCAAGGACTTGAAATCCCGTCCAGTCCGAATTGGAGGACTTTGACGACTTCTCATACTCATTAATTATTCGGGAGAGGAAAAAAGCGAAAAGGAAATACATATAACAGAAATATATTAATTTATTGCATCTCCACTAAGGWTTTCAGTTTTCATAATTGTAAATACATGTTTGTATTTGGCACTGTTTGTTGCCTCTCAATTCCCGGACGGCTTTCTGAAACAAAAGCTWTTCAAATTKTCTTTGTCTGCTATTCATGGCATTCCTAATGAGCCTAATTCATAAGATTTATAAATATGKTGTCTTCCGAGGAATCGCATCAGAAACTCGGTGGTGTAATGGTATAAGACGGCGCATATAGACTGGACTGTTCGGGATCGTTTCGTGGCAGTCATGTATCAAAGACTTTTTTCACTACATGAATTGATTCTATTATTTCTAATACTTTGATTATCAGAACACATAAGACTTGGTCGAGGAAAACTAGTTTCGTCTTTACTTAGACCTTTTCAATTCCAAGTCTTGTGTGTTCTGTGCGTCAAAGGATGTTTATAAGTTCTTACTTTGTTCATTTATAGTTGGTATAATTTGTTTTCTGTTTAACGGTATTTATGGAGTGTTTTCAGTTTCTTTGCTACATGCCAGGAAACCAATCATAAAGCAAATATTTTCGGAAATTACCCTGATAATATGCAACATTCTTAAGAAATAGTAAGCCTAAAGCGGNCGGCGTTTACACGAGCAATTTTTCCTTGACAAGGAAAAATTGCTCGTGTAAATGCGGTAAAATAGACAAGTTTTCCTTGTCAAGGAAAAGCCAACATGTTCGCTTTTCCTTGACAAGGAAAAATTGTCAAGGACCAAATTTGCTCGTATAAATGGACAACAAGGAAAATATGGCAGGGAAGAATTGTCAAGGAAAACTTGTTGACCATTCACACGGGCAATTTTTCCTTGTCAAGGAAAACTTGTTCTTCGCTTACACTAGCAAAGAAACATTGTCAAGAAACTTGTAAAGGAAAAATTGCTCGTGTAATCGCCGCTTAAGACGCAGCTAATACTAATTAGCATAATTTAATACCGGTACAGAAAGTGCGAGTTCACGTAGTTATGCGTCTAGTTTATACCGCAATGATGGAAGTCAATGGTCGACAACAAAATTGTCAAATATACACCTACTTGCGAAAACGTTGTCATAAAAAAATAGGACATTTCTATTTTAGTAAAAAGGAATAAATTAAAAAGACAAAAAAAGATCACTGAGGCTGAACGCCCTCTTTTGTCTTGTTTTTATTTATTCCTATTTACTAAATTCGAATGTTCTATTTTCTATGACAACGTTTCTGCAAGTAGGTGTAGACAATAATAACTACTTTGAAATACTTACGAAAGCGATAACTCCCATCATTCCGAAGAAGCACATATCGGAAATTTTTCTGCGCTAAAAAGTAGTTCTTCGCGCAGGCAGACTCTAACATTATAGCCGATCGTGTGTCGGATTGTCGTATACTCTTGCCTTGCCTGGCAATAAAATAGTGACAAAGACCTTGAAGACTGATTTTACTTTGCATAGACTTGAAGCACAGATTCAAGGACTTGTTTTCTTGAAGGGCTGGCCAGTTTAAGGAATGGATGCGGTACATTGCATCATATACCACTGAAACACATACAAATATGAAAATCATGGAATTAAATGGTCAACTATTTATTTTCAAGGTGTTTATCTAACTTTATACAACTTTTCAGTAAAATCAGACGTTTTGAKTGGTTGGCTTTCGTGTGTTATCAAAGTATAGATACACGTATTACGTCAAAACTAATTGTTTGTTGTATAAWACAGATAGATCTCATTTTTCCGTGCGTGTGTACTCTAATAGATACACAGATGACGTCAAAATGTAGYGAGAACAACAGTCACGCACTCGACTGCGTCTCGTGCGTACTTTTTTGTTCTCACTACATTTTGACGTCATCTGTGTATCTATTAGAGTACACACGCACGGAAAAATGAGATCTATTTGTTAACTAGAAGTGTTGTTTATAGAACGAGAGTGCGTGTTTTATCGGGATATATAGATTCGAGCCGCAGGCTATATATCTGATATAGAACTGATTAATAAAACATCAGTGCTTTATCGGGATATAAAGGCCTATCATGTGACCAAATAGTTCGATGCTCATTGGACTAATAGCAAATGAATTATTAATGAGTTCTAGAAGGAGTAGATTTAACTCCACCAAATTTARCTGCATCTGGGTAGTAATTTTAACTCTTTTAAGAACAATTTTCACCTCTATTTTTCTGACTCTTTTTCTGAGTTGATTTAAACCTCTATTAAAAACTCTTCGCATTGTAGAGTAGACTTAACTCGCTTTAAAGTTACTCCATCAGGTATAGTAACTTTAACTCCATAATTGGTAGAGTTATTTGAACTCCTTGAAAAAAACAGTGTGCATGTGACCAAATAGGCTATTCTAATCCGGTATCATGTATTTAGTTTCCTCATTTGTACTCACATTTACTAGCTGGACCATCTCGATAAACTAGTTTTCTTGCCATATCACCAACGTTTTCACCTGGCTTTACATGATATGAGTAGATCTTGTTTTCCTTAGAAATTTCGCGAGTAATGTTCCCCTGGGCACCAGCGAGACTAGTACCGCCTAAGTTGAGGTGATCTATACCAATAGCAACAACGTCAGTCGTTGAGGCAAGAGTTGCGGCAGCCTTAGACATGGAACTTGATGATAATGACGAAGATGAACTTGAAGAAGTATTTCCGGCCTTTGTTCCAGAACTTGAGGGGTCCACTTTCGAGCTTGAGGGATCAACTGTTGAGTTTGATGGATCCACTTTCGAGCTTGATGGATCCACTGCTCCAGAAGTTGTATTTCTACTAGTAGATGGGTCGACACCAGCTCCACTTGTCATATTTTTGCCAGAGGGATCAATTCCATTCCACATAGCGGCCGGAATATTGCCATTACTATTGGKTACTTGTGCAATATTTGTAGAGATAATTCGTCCATCAGGGCTAAAAAAGAAGACATGTGCAATATGACGGCTGCGGTAATAGTTCGTGAGCACTTGATTTAAACCCTTAGTGACTGCTTCACGCGTAGCAGCCTCGGCAACCTTGGCACCAGCTTCTGCACCTAGAATTTTTCCTGCCTTTGCACCAGCTTTGGCTCCTGCTTCAGCTCCAGCTTTGTATCCGTAATGGGCACCTGCGTACTTGCCTGCACGCGCCCCAGCCCTTGCTACGATCTTTAATAGCATTCTTTGTAACGTCGAGTTATATTGAGCTGGAACGATAAATTGTGCCGGAATATAATCTAGTAACAGTCAATGCTATGAACGCTGTGTGGTCACGAACCCTTCGAAGTCTGWTTTTTTTGATTGCTCCGTTTGTATAGAGCATTAATTTAATAGTAGGCTAGGCATCGTTTTATTGTTTGGAAGAGCATCTATAGTTTGTTCACAACCACGAGATGCGCTTCATTACCCGAAAAACCTAATTTGTTAAGCGTGTATTTCACTAGCGCATAAACATAGGCATAAGCACGAGAGTCATATGCGAACGGGCTCGGAATAAGCATAAGCATGAGCACAAGAAAAACGAGCAAGGCTTGATCTTCTTGTGCTTATCTCAATGCTTATGCTCAGTGAGAACGGGACTGCATAGGCATAAGCACAAGCATGAGAATCATATGCGCCAGTGAGAATGGCTCGACATAAGCATAAGACATTGAGCATGCGCACGAGCGTATTATTTCGGTACGTGGCTATGCTTATGCCAATGCAGTCCCGTTCTCAYTGAGCATAAGCATTGAGATAAGCACAAGAAGATCAAGCCTTGCTCGYTTTTCTTGTGCTCATGCTTATGCTTATTCCAAACCCGTTCTCAGAGGCGCATGACTCTCGTGCTTGTGCTTATGCCTATTTTATGCGCTAGTGAAATCCACGCTTTAGACTTTAGACATTTATTACTTTATTTCATTACTCTATATCTTTAGCACTGTAGACCTGTTGTGTCGGCCGATAAATTGCCTGTCTCTCCTTTATTACTTACAATTATAAGAATAAACTGCAGTCCAAAGATATTCCTTTGAAATTGGCGCAATAAACTGACCACTTGGTGTTTTAACGGCTACGGAAATATGATCTCCTCCATAAAACTCTTTCATCAACGTCTCAATGTAATAGTACTGTCCTTGCTGTAAGACGATTGGATACGACTTTTGTTCTTGAAACCTTTGAAACAGGAACACGAGCGTCAGATGTGTAAGTTACCATCCATACATAAAAAAATTAAACGCGAAAAASTATCAAGAATTGGTACTAACTATAGTTTCCGTTTTTTGGCTTTGTTCTTGTTTGTCAATATTTAGGCTGTTTCWTATAAAATAGTACAAAATAGCATTCTATTTTGCATGTTTTCTTTTGAATGAATCACTCTATTTCTAGTTTGACTATATGTTACATTTTGTTTCACGGGTGAATGAAAATCCGGCACTCTACAACTAGAGTGATCGCACTTAAAGCGTGCAACTGTACAAAATCCAAGTAGTTCTAATTTGTACTAAAAGTGGACCTGAAGCAAGACGGTATTGAAAGCTTCATTTGTATCAATTCAATTTAATCTTGCGTATCGCATKCMYGATTTACTAAATACAMCKAAAYAKCACTATTTAGTTTGTACAGTTGCACGGATTARGTGCGATCMCTCTAAAAGTAAAAATCACTGTTAACTATATCGTACAAAGAGGGTATAGAATTCATGCAAGAGGAGCCGAGGGGGTCTGTTGTTCGAAATAACTTTTCTTGTACGAATTTTTTCCAGGAWAGGGATTTTGATCTACATTGTTGACAATCTCACMWGCAAATATGGMACCCATCCTTCTTTAARATAATTTTGTTCCTATCAAACGTTTTTGTGGTCAAAACCGGCTATTATTTTTTTAGTTAGGAAATTGTTATTTTCCTRGCAAAAATTCTTAGAAAGTATCCCTATCCTGGAGAGAACTTTTTCCCTGAATTTCTCGCTGGCAACCAGTTGTGACTTACAGCTGGCTGGGACATAAGAACAGATATATTTCTCCAAGAAAGCCGTCGGCTCCCCCTGTTCATGATGTTTCRAAAAAACGTTGTCCAAAACGTGTGTTAACAATTGTGCTATAACGAGTAGTACACACTGCACTTCAAAAATGAAGAAATCGTGATGGATGTCATCAATGCAGTGGATACTCCGATAGAACACGTTTATTATTACTTGTTATATTCCTTCGGTTTTGTGTATCTCATGTCACCAATAAATGCAATCAAGGACTTGTGTGCAGGGTTGGTGTCTCGACTGAAAAACAGCTGGCTTCCACCGTTACTCGCTGTGAAGAGAAAACAATGTAACAAAAATATAATGATTGCCTATGCTATAAACAGGAGGTCTTGCGCACGGTATTGAGTTGTATTTCGTCTTACTTTTAATAAGGTTGAATAAAATTGTGCAATTTGATTAGCTTAGAGGAGTGGCATTTATCGATAATTGCATGGTATTTCAAATTGCACAATTTTATTCAGCCATTTTATAAACAAATAATAGCATGTTTTGTACGTGAAATTTGAGATAAATACCACTTGTGGGGATATTTCAAAATTGTCACAAATTTTCGTTAGCAATTTTGATATATCAAGCGTGGCGTTTATCCCAAATACCACTACAAAACAGTCTATTACCCTTAGAAATGACGTACGCTTACACTGCCGCGATGGTTTGTTGTGTTCCAGTATCACTATGTAGCTAATGTAGCTAGTATATAGTCACAAATGAGGATACACAGCATTTTGCAAGAATTTTGTAAATGCCAGAAATTCTATCAGGTGCATTATGGGTCCTTTTCACTGAAAAACTGCCTAAAATTCCTTTTTGAAGTAGAAATCAYTATTTTTTTAATATGTTATGCAGATACTGATTGGTTCTAACTATAMARAAAAACCGCTGCTTGYGTCTCTGTCCTCTGATAAAAACACGGTGGGAGTTGAAAAGCACTCGAGAAGCAAGAAAAAGACTCGCTACGATTGTGTTCCTAAGCTTGCTTCTCTCGTGCTTTTCAACTCCCACCTTGCTTATATCAGAGGACAGAGACACGCGCGCCGTTTTATATTTCTTAAATATAGATGAATTGAAAAGTTGATTAATTTACTATAAAGCTAGTAAATTTACTGTAAATCATTTCATTTACAGACAAAATGTCCTAATTGTAAAGATTGATTTTAGAAAATATTTACAAATGTTTTATCGAGCGAAATTTAAAAGATATTTTCAGAATGTACATAAAATTTACAAACTTTGTAAAAGGACATTTCGTCTTTTACAAACTTGTAAAGTGAATTTATAGTTATTTAGAAACTCATCTAACTAATCAGCTTTTCTTTGGATGCCGCTTACTTTCGTGCCGAATCTTTGCGAACTGCTGTATTCACGTGGTTTATTTCTATATTTATCATTATTCAGCCCAGGTTCATTAAATCCAAACTCTCGGACAGCATTTTTTGAAAAAGTAATTGATYAGAACAAAACATGAAATGAAAAATGACAAGACAAGTTCACATTCCCAAGCTTACCGATGAAAAATTGATGTGTTCCATTTTCTTTAGGCACAAAATAAGAACGTATTCGTGTGCCGAAATTTTCTCCCCAGTTTTCAATTTGGTGGAAGGARTCAGCATAACCACGCCAGGTTGGTARGTATGGAAACCGTGGGTTATTTGTAAGCTTTTTCAACTCAAAYGTGTCAATACCGGACCATTTCTCAATGTACACTCCATGACGCCTGGTAACACCTAGAACAGCAATATTGGCTGCATCAGCATCTGGGACCAAATTATACGTTATTTAACAAATAGATCTCATTTTTCCGTGCGTGCGTACTCTAATAGATACACAGATGACGTCAAAATGTAGTGAGAACAAAAAAGTACGCACGAGACGCAGTCGAGTGCKTGACTRTTGTTCTCACTACATTTTGACGTCATCTGTGTATCTATTAGAGTACACACGCACGGAAAAAWGAGATCTATCTGTTTTATACAACAAACAATTAGTTTTGACGTAATCTATACTTTGATAACACACGAAAGCCAACCAATCAAAACGTCTGATTTTACTGAAAAGTTGTATAAATAAGGATATTCAATGCATTTTAAACCTTTGACGTCCTTATCAAACTTTAAAAATTGTTTCCGAAAAAGTGATTGTCAAATAGAGTGACAGCTCTTACACGACAAATAGGAGTCCATTGCAACCGTAAACCGCGTTGCAAAATCGGCGATTTTCCGAAACCGAGGGATGCCTTCACGAACTTCAACTGTTACAAAAACGAGAGCAAACTCCCAAATGTCGGACCTCTAAGATATTAGAAGGGCAAATGCAGAGTTGAGTGTCGGAGTGGATGATGAAGTGATTATTGGTTCGGCTGATSTGAAAGCACTCTATCCTATTTTACTGTTGAGAAGGTATGTGGTTAATGTASATGAGTTGGRCTTATACTTAGCGGTGAATTGCCCTATGGCATAATGACGTCATAGTATGTTTACACTGTGGATAGATGCTCAGAAAGATTCGAAATTTACACCTATAACACTCTGTCCAAAAGTAGAACTTCAGTCTATCGAGTCTTGATGTACATCATTTTTCAATGATAGCTCATCTACATTTTATTTGATATGCAGTCACTCTGATCCCCTCTGGCGATCATAATCCTTAGCGTTAAAACAATAGAATGTTTTAGTGTGACGTAATTATGCGATAGGGCAATTTGAATGAACAGGAGTTGAGTGAGAAAGGAGTTGAACAGTTTTGTCCTGCGCGTAGGAGTAGAAAAGTGGGACCACTTGTTATAACAGGATCTTTCTAAAGAAAGAAAAGAGGTTTATCATATTGGCCATTTCGACGTTGCGCAGGGGACTGGGCACTAATCAAAGAAATATTGATCTATTCACGAAACAAACTTTGATGAAAGGGCACCCAAAAATTAGTATATATACCAAGTTTCAAAACGTTTGGATAAAAACTAGCTGAACAGTATTTATTCCTAGTTTCATCAAATTAACAGAGRATGTATTGTTTTGGGGGACGCGGTCAAAATCCCCATACATTCTCTGTAACTTGCACGGCTTCTCATTAATTGAATATTTGTCCAAATGATCTGTAACTTGGAACCTACACTAAAGTCGATAAAGTCTTTTTAGTGATATGGTTAGTTTTTCGATTGGCTCAATATGACAGAAATTACAATTCATTTCATAACATAAAAATGGCCAATAATTATCTATATAATACCTATATTTCTCCATTACGTAAAGTTGTTATTTTATTTATAAAATAACACAATCGAGGTTTCTCTATATAGTGGAAGTAAGAAAAAAGCTATTTTACAACATAATTTACTCTCATTTGTAATTAAAATGATAAACCGAATATTGCATGGTCGCTTGGAGATACAAATTTTTATAAAATCTGCATCTCCGCGCGCCCATGCAATATCCTTTATTTGAGTCATGGGTATTACMATTGGAAAAACCTAATGACGTGGGATGTTAACTATAGCATTAAAGGTTGCACTTTTATCATGAAGAATCATGTGTATGGTTTTAATGGGGATATAAGCAGGCAGGTGAAGGGTGATCCTATTGGATCAGAGTTGACGGGGGTGTTAGCACGAATGTTTATGGTACGTTGGGACAGGATGTTTCAGTGTAGAGTAATGGAACTTGGTATACCTTTGTACATGTACAAAAMGTACGTAGATGATGTAAATTTGTTGGTTGGGTGGAGGAGTCCGAGGGTAGAGGATGGAGCTGATGGAGCTGATGATGAAAGTATGAGTTCGGATGAAAGGTGCATGAATGTGTTGAAAGGTGTTGGGAACGGCATTCACGAATCCATCCAGATAGAGATTGATTGTCCATCAAAACATGTGGRTAAGGAACTCCCTATATTGGATCTTAAAGTATGGGTTGAGAAGAAAATAAGCTGTAATGTTAACGTAATACAACACGAGTTTTGCTCCAAAGATGTGTCATCACAGATGGTTTTGGCGTCACGATCAGCCATACCATGGAGCTTGAAATGAACTGCTCTTACCCAAGATTGTCTTAGTGTTCTTCTAAATTGTAGTCCGGAGTTACCGTGGAATGATGTTGCGGCACACGTTAACAACTTGGTGAAGAAGATGCAATATTCAGGCTACGATAAGAAGTTCCGGTACGAGGTTGTGAGATCTGCACTTACGGCATATGACAAGATACGAAACATGGACCAGGAAGGAATAAGACCAATGTATTGCACTAAAAGATGGAAGATGAAGAGAGGAGAAACGAAAAAGAAGAGAAGAAAAGATCTTGGTACAAGAAAGGGGGATATTCCAGTGTTATATTTGTACCATCAACGCCTGGATCTCGACTCAAGAAGGAAGTACAGATAGACGTTCASAACTCGGGATTCAAGGTAAAGGTAGTAGAGAGAACTGGAACCAATTTGAAGGAGGTACTTCAACGGACAAACCCATTTAAGAACCGACACTGTGGCCGACAAGACTTGTGTGTACAAAAGGAGGAAAAGGAKCGTTGGGTGTTACGTACGAAATATTATGTAAGAATTGTCAAAAGAAATACATCAGTGAGACGGCACGAAGCTTACACATGAGGAAAGGAGCATTTGAACGATCTTGAACAGAGAAGTGAGCGGTCTGTGTTGATAAGACACYCTGAGGAAGAACACGAAGAGATATTGTCACCACCTGAATATACAATGAATGTAACGGGTGTGTTTGGAAACAATGTCATGATGAGACAGATTACTGAGTCGGTGCAAATAAWAAAACGGAACAATAAACAATAAGACTTAGTGGAATCATATAAGAATACCAAGAGCCATCATTGACAAATGATTTTATTTAGTTTTAGTTTGTTAAGTATTCGAATSTTATTGTATCTGTGTAATTATGATTCTAAGTGCGCGCTTCACCAGCGCGATCTCTAAGAGAGTGCTATATTTGAAACATGCAACAACGAATTGTAACAGTTTATTAGCAATATTATTTCATTACCGAAATTACAAAGAAGTTCTGAATTTTACGAGCTCTTTCGCAATAAATAGTAACCCCTAACAAAATAGTTATTTTTTGTAATATTTCAGCTAAAAACGTTACTGAAAATCTTGTGTTTAGAGACAAAAGGCAGGGAATAAAAGAGAGCTGAAAATGTCCACCATTGTTGAATAAGATAACTTAATTGAACGATTTCTAAATGGTTTCTACTTGAAAAATCGTTAGAAACTGTGAAGTGCTTCATTGTTATACATAATTAAAAGTACTCACCCGGTGCAAAGGGTCGTGGAATATATATCAGTAAGCCTTCTTCCAAAACCGTTAATAGGAAAAGGAAAATAACTTTTAGCATTTTTTTTTTGTCAGTCAGACAACTAAAATAAAGTCACCCATTTAGAAATCGCATAATGTCAATTTTTGACAAAGTACCAGTTTTTTGTTGACTGGTTATTTAATAAGCTTGAGAAAAACACAACGGTGGAATCCAGGTTTAAAAATTAATGACTGTATTTTAATTAAACAACCCATTTGTTAAGGCCTCAGTAAAAGTTGGAAAGAAAATTCTAAACTGTCCGGATGTGAAAAAGGGTTGAATYCGAATTGACTTTTCTTCCTCAACGTATCGGTCATAGCAAAACAGTGTATTCCAAACTTTGCGGCACGCATAATAACTGATCGCCTACCCTTAGGGCTGTCGATGAAACAGCAACTTTATCTCAGCAACTTTGTCTTGCTSACCATGGCACTTAAGTGCATTAATGTCTTAGCTCTCTCTATTACCTATATTGATCTATTCGAGCACAAGTGCCTAGTTATAGCAAACCAACTTTTACCACGCWGTAGCGCGCTTTAATACTTAAGATCGTATACAACATCTGCACCGTCCAAAAGGATTTTTAAGAAGCGCCCTAGMCAACACATAATATAGTATAGTGGTAGAGTAGAGTGGACGCACTAAATCTGTGAAACACATATTAGCAATTATTACTAAATAGTGTTGATTAGACAATAAAAGCCGCTATGCAAGATGTTAAGCAGGCCATCGAACCACCTAGAATAGATTGCGACATAATATACCACGTGCTAGCAGAACCAACGATAGCGTGAGTAATAAAATGCGTTGACAGCGATTGATAACTGTCTTCGTCGCGACCGCGTTATGTCGAGATCTCATTGCCCTCGAGTCTAACTTTGCCTAAATTACATTTAACCACATTATAATGCGCGCAAAGGATGGTCCAGGCTTTTTCAAAATGGGAGTTCCCAGAGGAAAATTGGATTGGCACTGGTATATTGACTTATATTTTCCCACAGCAAGCCCAATYACGTTAACCAATTTTTCAAGCATATAATTTAGTCGTTACTTGCTATAATTGTAAAGAATGCAACTGGAAAATTGTTAGACCTTCTRCAGATCTCATCAACATCAATTTCTACTGATATCGTTGTGTAAGTGCAATTAAAGCAAGCCTTTAAAGTTGTTTGTCAGTCACTCTGTTCATTAGAACGATTTCACATAACCGGATAAAAAATGCTAATGAGGATCAATTTATGCTAATACATATTACCCGATGAGAATAGCTTGTATGAAATTGTTGTCCATGTGTGCGAAAAAGCCATGGATACCATGAACGCTGTCACTGCAATGTTGGCTAAAACTGTGTAAGAAAAAATGAACAAATACGCGATAAAACCTTGTATTTTTAAGAGCAAAATTACTCTGACTTGACTATTGGACAAACACGATCGCGAATTTAATGTTTTGTTATGATTTATATGTTATTTAAAATAAATCTATACGTCAACTAGGCAAAGCGTTCATCAAAATCCTTGTTGTTCAACGTGTAAAAKCGTGTAATGTGTATTAGCATAAATTGATCCTCATTAGCATTTTTTATCCGGTTATGTGAAATCGTTCTATTAAGCTAGGATAAATTGATTTTTCTAAGAACAGAAATACTCCAGTTTCGAATTCATAGCGCAAAACCGCTGCTTTATTTGACAACAGATTCTCTTGGGCAAAGACCTGACCAAACACGAAAGAGAGCACGAGAAAATGTCGTTATTGAAATAGACTTCAAAATTTGCATTATCCCCGATTTGAGACTAACCCTGTATTCCCATGAGACTTAAGATATGAGCCTTCTGGAATACAGGGTTAGCCTCAACTCGGGGAAAATGTAAATTGTTAGCGCTTTTGTACAAGCAACTTTTTCTCGTGCTTTCTTTTGTGTTTGGTAAGTTCTTTGCGTAAGAGAATCTTCTGTCAAATAAAACAGCGGTTATTCGTTTTGAATTCGAAACTGGAGTATTGACCCTCATCTTCAGCAGAGCAAACAGATGGTGGTGGTGGGAACTAGCGGCAAACTAGTGTGAGCTGCGTTGTTGTTTCTAAAGAAACTGACATTTGTGTGAAAAGACAAATTTTAACACTGTAAAAATTAGTTCAAACAACTTTCTGACGTTTTGRACGTTAATCCTTCCTTAGAGTAAAGAAAATCTAAATGTTAAACGCCGAAAAAAAAGTAATATATTGCATTTACGACACTGATTGCTATTAAAATCAACATCAAAATTGAGCGTTCTTTCAGATGAAAAACTACTTGAAGAAAAAAAATGAACTTGGAATTAAAGGTGGATCCTGTACCCAACAATCCCCTCCGAGATCCGCCTTTGCAATGCATTATATACAGTTAAGCATATCAATAATCATCTCCCTATTCGACAGATGCCCATGTAGTCTTTCAAAGAAAGACATAGATGATTGAAAAAAAAAAAACGGACGCAGCGTCCGGCATTTATACGTTTCTTTGGAAATTCTAGTATTTTTAAAAGGCTGTAAATCGATCACATTTGATCATCTGATYAACACCAAACTTTGTGAGTTTCTTATTTATAGTKCGATCTTTCGTTCCATATAATAGTTATTCCACCATCGTGCGAATTAAGAGGCTTGTACCCAGTCTCCCATGGYATATGAAATCAGACTATTGCCGGATTTCAAACCGTGAGGGACTGGGCAAAATCCCCTAATTGGGTAATCGTGACATAAGAYTTACATAGAAAGAAAGCCCTTATTGAGAAATGCAAAATTCCAAAATTTGATGTAAATCAGTCCAATAGTGAGCGAGTTACGGCCTTTCAAATATTCTAACATTTCCAAAGAAATGTATGGAAAGCCGTGAATGTGTCCGGTCAAAATGGTCAAAATCCGGACACATTCACGGCTTCCCATACATTTCTTTGCAAATTTTAGAATATTTGAAAGGCCGTAACTCGTTCACTATTGAACTGATTGACACCAGATTTTGGAATTTTGCATTTCTCAACAAGGGCTTTCTTTCTATGTAAGTCTTATSYCRTGATHATCCAATTWGGGGATTTTGCCCAGTCCCCACTCGGTTTGAAATCCGGCAATTGGTTGTGAGTATTCTAAGGGTTGAAAAAAGGGACCAAATGGCCCCAGGACAGCTCGGTTTCTTGTGATGTCATTGCAGCGTTTGCTACGTCATCCGATTAAAAATCAATGTGTGAAGCGAGAATGAACGAACCGAAAATACTGCGTACAATTCTTTCTTCTGGGTCGAAATTCCAAGGAGCAACTGAAATATCAATTTGCCATTAACAGTGAAGAAGCAACGCTAAGAATTATTACTAAAAGTTGGGGGTAAGAAACGCAAACCAAGTTCCAGTCCACTGTATATAAGAATACGGCAAGAATTACTAGACTAGAGACTGGGTAATTGAATTAACTTGCACTTGAATAGAAACAAAAGAAATCTGACATTCTCCAATTTTTGGATGAAGAAATTCGAAGCTGTGAWTTTAATAGATATCATCAAAGTATAATAGCTAGAAACAACAATACTTAGAAAAATATAAGCAAGCGACAAAAAGGCAATTCCTCTACAATAAAACAACAAAGAAAGTTTGAATTTGATCTCTTAGAACCCGCCTTGGAATCGTGAAAAGGAGATATTCGAGCAGGTAACAYAACAGGTGGYGGAAACGCTGTGAATGCTTTGTCTTCATGCTACAACAAACATTAATGGCGGCTTGGAAGTCTTAAGTAAAAACATGAAAAACTTCGACATGGAGAAGAGATGACATCGAGAAAGAAATGGCGTCTGGGATATTGTTAGTGTTGATATTTCTAGCGGCGAACTCCAACGCTCAGTACTTTGACCCTGTCCTATTTGAACAGGACGGTAAAGGAGAAGTGAGCGGTARGTTGTGATCTTTAGAATATATTGTTTTGACTTGAAATTAAGACAAATCAAACAAGAAAAAACAGTTTGAATATTATCGTTTTTTAAACAATTAAAAACACCATTTTCTTCTTTGAAACTCTTAAAGATAAAATCTTTTGAGCAAATGTGTGTGTTTTGAACAATATGTTCAACTGATTTTAACTAAATTCTTCAAGTCACAAAAAGTTCCCCTTTTCGATAAAATGGGAATTTTATTGTTTTGATAAAAAGCTGTCGTTTTTTTCTATTTATTGCTTTATGTAATGATAGACAGCAACATATTAACGATCTGTCACTTCAAAATTGGTCAGAACAGGTTCAAAACTGATGATCTTTTCAAAAGAGGACCTGTTTGTAAATACTTTATATAGAATTGCGCGTCAGGAAAATATGTTTTTATTTTTACTTCTTARTGTTACCCTTATTCTAAAGCAACAGCTTTTGTGAGAAATAGTGAATTATGTGTTGAGGATCAATGCGTATATCAAGATTATGGCTAGTGACAATACACTCTACGATAAGTAATGCGATGACATTGACTTTTCGACTTATGTGATGGAATTTTCGCAATTATATTAAATCACATTTTGCTGAATATAATTGACTGTTTAGTAGCGCATGCCAAACGAGGAAACATCGACACGAACATCTTATGCATATAGAACATTTTTATAATTATTCTATATACTTTTTCTATGTCTACTTTTTTGGCTCATTAGTTTCCAATAGTTGTTCAGTTTGGACCGGTATGACAATMAAGAGAAATAATACACAACACTTGCTTATAAAAAATGGGTTACGATCTGATTATGTATAATTCGTATAAACTTCATCTAATAGACGAGGTGACGGTTTCGGGCGCCATCTTGGACCGGTAGGCAAAGTGTCGCAAAATAACCAGGATAAACCGGGAAATCGATGTCAAATAATTCTCGTTTAATTCAAATTTGGAAAGAATATCATCAATTGCAAACGTTAGATTATGCAAAAAGGAGTTACGTGGCCAAACTTGAAGGGTACTGTACTTCTTCTAGGGAGCAGTAAATGTATTATTAGCTTTCAATACATTTCTTTGTAAAAGAGAAGTCAAATTTCTAGATCTATTGTAATGTAAACATTTTTAGTGCTTTCTTTGGTTTTCGGTAGGGTCTATGTGCAAGTGAGTCTGTTATCTACTAAAACAGTGGTCGTTCGCATTGCATTTTGAACGGGACTAAGGCTAATTACCATCCTATTGGCCGATATAACAAAACGAGCAGGGGCCTGGGGCTTAAAATTTTAAWAGTGATACAATCTTACAGAAATCTGTTGTTGATAGACAAAGCACTTATAAAGCAGCTAAAGTTTAAAGTTTGAGCAAGTTTAAGTCATTACAATTGGAAATTGGAYAAAGAATATAYGTTTGGCTGGACACTTTGTCTGGACACCATACATTTCTTTGTAATTTTGGCATGGTTTGAATGTCCGTAACTTTATTTCTATACGTTCAAACATCATGAAACTTAGTCAGTAATGGTGCTCTTTCACATGATGGGTTATTCTTTTTGGAACCATTATTTTATTAGACTTTGAAGTTGGGACCTTGTCCCTTTTTCGTATTGTTATCGGCTAATTTGCATAACAGTACTCCGACGAAGGATTAACGTCCGAAACGTCAGTAAGTTATTTGACATMCTTTTTTTACGGTGTTAAATTTGTCTTTTTACACAACTGTTTCTTTAGAAACACCGACGCAGCTCACACTAGTTTACCGCTAGTTCCCACTAATTTGCATAACACTGAGTTGTTCGAAGTTCGGGTTTTTTTCTCAAACAAATTATGTGTGTTTTCCCTTTCACTCGTTTTGACTAGTAAAACAAAATTCTCGAGTTACAGCACATGTTTGGAGTTCTCTCTTGCAGTACAAACTGTATCCTATTTGTCATTTCCATAGTGACACTGGAAAAAAATCGCGCGCTTTAAAGGTTGTAAATTTAATKTATGATGATGTAAGTGTCCAAAATGATGTAAATTTGCTGTAAATCATTTCGATCATTTCGATTTTTTCGCTTCAGCGATTAAAGGCCCAGTGTGCATCATTATACGGCCGTACTTTGTGTTTCGAATTTTTGACCATCTCACTTTTCTAAGCACTTTAAGAGCTAATATAAGAGTTTTCAACCATTTGACATTCGTTTTATGGTGATATTTGATACWAGAAGTTTTTTTGTGTAAATCATAACAATAACAGAGGCACGCAAAGTATAATGGTGCGAACTGGGCCTTTAAGTGTCCGATATTTGGTAAGAGCTCAGCCCGCACAGCCCGAACTCAGCACAGGAATAGAGCTTACCCATCTTGCTCAATTCTTGTTTACTCATTTATTTATCCCATRATGCATTGCGCCTTAAGGTTTTCTTGTCGTGTCGTACTAATTTTTATTATTGTACTTTAACCTGTTTTTTGTAGAACCATCTGAGAGTGTCCCGGATGAAATGATGCAAGATCAACCGTTGAAGGATGATCCTAAAGACACCTCGGCCAAAATTGCCTCGAAAATTTCTAACGCTGCAGAAAGGAAGCCCGCTGAGACGATGGCTTCTCTAAGGAAAGGTAAAACAATTTTGATGAATAAGTAAATAAATACGTACGCGTACGCCCAATTACAAAAACGTCGTCCTGAGATTAATAGGCCAGAGACGCGTAATGTAACAATATTTGTTGTGCAATCTCTGAGGGGTTAAAAATCAGGCAGCCGCGCTCTTTTTTCAAGACTTCTGGGATCTTTTAGGGGTCTTTTTTACTTTTTATTAAGATTAATATGACAGGCCCATAGGCTGCCTTACAAATGGAGGGGTTCGCTTTCTCATAATGCGGACCTAAATGAAATGTTTAACTAAATTAGTTCTATGCACAGGTGTAGTGTGTAAGAACTGGCTGCTAGAATAAGCACTTCATAACAAAATACTCAAAAACAGTTCATAACATTAAAGTGCTACTTGCATGAAAATGGTCTTATTTCAAAACGTCAAGCAATACAAATATATGACTCATTGATATCTATTAAATATTTTTTTTGGAATTATCCAACATCAGAGCAATTTTGAATCAAAAGATGGAAGAACAAAAGGATGGAAGAACAAAAGGATGGAGTAAATGACGTCATCTACTCCAACATTTTTTGCGCAATTAAGGATTTGTATCAATATCTTCTTGAAATGTATTGCTTCATGATTATAAGACCCATATGGATAGGTCTATTTGATTTCCAAGTCGTTTCTAATGTTTCGCAGTTTTCGTTCAAGTAGCCCTTTAAAATAGAACAATAAAAAAGAGAAACACCGGACCTTTCAAGCTTGGTTCATCCGAACCCCCAAAGCCTACGGGCCTGTATGACTAATAAATACATGCCAATCAAGCCGAGAAAAAAGGCAATGGAATTAAGTCAAGCATCTCTCCGCAGTCTCCACTGATTTATAAGTATAGTTTAAAACACGAGAGAGAGTGTTTTAAACGGCTTTAAAAACTCCAACACTATTTGAAACTCAAATCCGTTAAAAGTCTTGGAGAAAATGCCGTAAAAATAAGTTTTGAGATAAATGGGGCAAACTGATCATKCGCGAATCACTTTACAAAGCAGTCTTGTCATCCCACATTGAATACACATTAAGTAAGATAGAATGGCTGTTGACTGTTTACTGCAATCGGTTGATATCCTGCATTGGTCAATGATCAGGTTTCAATCCTGAGACCTTTGCTAGGGTCATGGACCTTTATATCTAATAAAGCTCACCCTTATTAGTATTCTTTATACAGTATAAAGAATACTAATGAGTATTTTATCATATATAAAGGTCCATGCATGTGACCAAATATGCTCATTCTATTGGCCTAATAATTCATTAATTATGTATGAGTTTTTGAATCATATTTTGAATATTATACATCAAAGGACAGAAAACTATTGTTTGGTGACTCGAAAACTTATAGAAAACGCGATTAGAGTGAAGTCATTAAACCCATGAAATACACTGTTATTCTCAAAGAGTTGATATAATCTTCAAGGCAGTAAGTAAAAAGAAGGTTCCAGATAACTCCTTTTCAGGAGCAGAATTAACTCCATTAATTTTAAATGCACCTGGGGGAGTTATTTTGACCTACTTCTAACACTTTTGAAAACCCCTTTTGAAGCAATTTACTCTATTTCTAAGTTGATTTAAATATCTGGAGTAGACCTTCTCTCACTGTAGAGTAGATGTAACTATTATAAAAGTTACTCCACCAGGTAGCTTTAACTCCATTATATTGGTGGTACTGTCTCCTCTCGCAGCCGTTACGAGGTTCGTTCCCAGGTCTCTCCCACTAACGGCTGCTTATCCAGGCTAAACATTCCGTCTTCGGAGATTGATCAATCAGAGCGTTGCCTTCCAAAATCTAGAAGGCTCATTGATATTCATGGCAGATAGCTTTCGAAGGGGGTTGTAAGTTCTAGATGATCGTCCTTGTTTTATCGCCTCTACCAACGATCAGCAACGAAATGTGAGAGCGTTAGGCCTAGTGTCTAAATAGCGAAAGAGCTAAAGGACTAGAAGATGAAGAAGTAAAAGAGCTAGTAACGAAGAAACCAGAAAGAGCTAAGCCGAAGGTCATTTCGAGATCAGCTGTTAGCAGTTTACACACAAATTCAAAGTAAAATTAAGCGAACTGTTGAATGGTTTCAAGTTCATATTAAGTACGGAACTTGCTTGAGTCCTTGCTTGACACTCGACAGTAAATCGATCTTACAAAAATTCGAACTCTTTGTTTCGTTCGGACTAGTGATAAAAACAAAAGACTTCCAGATGAATTACTACAAATGATTTTTTTTTGGCTTGGCATCTGTATAATTCCACAAAAATTGCCGACTTATTTCGAGCTCGAACCAAACCAAAACACGGACTTTGACAGATCATAGTTGATACTAACTATGGATAGACATTACCCGGTAGACTTCACACGTGATTCGCTGTTCAAAACAAAGGGAATGGAATTTTTAACCTGGGTGAGAGCCGTTATAGGAGAGTGACCTGGGAACGAGCCTCGTAACGGCTGCCAGAAGAGACTATATTGGTGGAGTTATTTCAAGTCCTTGCAAATAACAGTGTATATTTGATTTAAAGAAAAAATAGGGTATGAAAATCTGAAATCAATGCTTAATGGTAGTGTTCAAATTGCAGGCGAAATTACACAAATTATATAAATGCATCAGTACTTTCGGAGAACAATGSGTCCGCCATCTTGAAAAGTGGGACTCGAATCACTAAATTATAACTTATATAAACAATTAAAAGCTTCTCAGCTAATGTCAAGTGAATACAATACAAAATAATTATAGATAAGTTGACTTAGAAACTACGAAATGTGTTCTAAGGCACAACATAGCAATTCGGGTCTCACTTTTCAAGATGGCGGACGCATTGTTCTCCGAAAGTACTGATGCATGTATAGATGAATAGATGAGGGTCTGGGTTGCAGGGTGTATTTGTATAATAATAATTTCAATTATTTTTATTTTTATTTTATTTTATTTTTTTTACTTCACGTCATAACATCTAGGTTGAATATGCGGTGTTTCGATTTCAGACAATTGACATCAATAATTCAGTTATTTCTTGCTTAATTAATTACAGATGAACCTCTATTAAACGGCCAACCTATATCAAGCGGTCACCAGTATTTTCTCAAGGTGACCGTTTAATAGAGGTTTGACTGTATGTCCTAATTGAGATTCAAAAGGTGGTCTCGGCGGATATATTGATGGAATGAATAGACACTAATAGTAAATCGTTTATGAAACGACCACAAACTTGACTGATGTCTAGTCCACTGGAAACCAGCTATTTTTGTGATATTACTTCTCCCCGTTTAAAAGGACATAATCGCTATTGTTTATCAGTCAGATGACACAGCAGATGCCATGCACAAAGGACAGAAACAAAACAAAACAAAAAATCACGAAAAATGATGATTATACAACATTCCGAAGAATTCGCATTCATTTCGAATGAGACTGCATATGCTTTTCCAATTGTCAATAAAAACAACCGAATTCCATAAAACAAAAAAAAAAAACATGATTGTAGTTGTAGTCCTAACACTGTTTTATGTCCACCACAACAGTCGATCTAAGCAGTTTTTGCTTTTTGTCCTTTTTGTAAGCAACAATAGCAGTTGTTGTACCATTTCTACAAAGAAACTGTTAAAGTGGTTTTTAGAGATCTATATTTTAGTGTGAGGACTACAACTACAATCACGCTTTGCTGTACGAAATGGCATCGTCTATTGTCGGCCGGGCTTAAGGAAAAAACATCATTTCATTTAAGGTATTGTAAGAAAACCTGGACTAGTTATTGAAAGATGGGATGGCGTCGATGGCTACGACATCAACACATTAACAAAGAGTCCCCGTTTCCCGACTTTACCTAATTTTCAAGATTACGTAGACACATATAGTGAGCCAGATAATTGGGGTGACTCCTTTGGATCGAGGATAAGGGGATATTTTTGCCCCGACCAAACTGGAAATCACATATTCCAAATCGGTAATGCAGTGCAATGATGTTAACTTTCATCACATAGTTGATATTAATTGAATATTGAATATTCGCTAGATGAAATGCAGACATATCTCAAAATTGAAGAATCCGATTGGTTCAGAAAGTTTAATTTAATGATACAATCAAAATATGTCTTTGAATTTCAGCCAGCGACGCTCAAGGTCAATTGTATTTAAGTCCCGATGAAAACCCTGCACACAAGGTCATGATTGCAGAAATCTCAGGAGACCGTGTTGTGCCACCTCGAGTATACAACAAGTACGATTTACTAGCTATAAAATAATTATATATTGACTTATTTCATTATTAACATTAATTGTTATCTTCTCCAAATGACGTTAATCACAGACAACGGATCATATTCCTCCGAATTGTGATTGGTTCATATATTTGACATGTTTGACAGCTAAAGTACTGCATAAAAGTGAATTTTCTATGCTTGAAACAAGGCTCCAAACTTCAAACGTTACTACTGTAGGCCAACGATTTCAGTGATTGTAATGGTTTAACTAAACGACTGTGTGAATGCCATAATGCCATAATAATTTTGATRTGCAATACATAAGGGACACTCTCTCTTAGAAGTATCTATCGTAGGACTTTAATATTTGGTTTGCAGGGCACCGATGTACACATAGAAGGCTCTCATGTCCCTATTATGTGAAGAAGAACTTGAATYTTTTTTAAGGTCGAGCATTAAGATTCGAAGTAGCTGTATGCATTCCCCCAATTTATATTTTCCCTAATAAACCTAACCATTAAGTCATGAGTTCATCCCCTTGAGTGTCATATCTATGCAACGGCTTCATGAATAATCACATGTATTACGTAAGATTGATTATATAATTCATGAACCTTGTATAGGGACATGAGAACCATGCATATTTATGTATATCCATATTTGGAAGTCGTGCGACAGACTCTTATCCTCTTTCTCGAATATTCATGCTTTATCAATTGCATTCTATTTTTTCATGTAGGTACCGCGAGCAAACGTCACAATTTGTTTATCTTGAAAAGGACAAATGCTATTACACATCGGCTATCCATAAGGAACAGTTTTTAGATGATAATCTAAGTGTCAAGGTCATAATGCCGGACAAAAGATCCTTTGATCCCATTCCTAAGCAGTTCTTATGGACGCTACCAAAACCTAAACCAACCGAGCCTGAAGGTAAGTATTCAATAGGCCGTATTTCGTTTCAATAACTATATGGCCTTATTCAAAATCGCTTCCATGATTATAAAAAAACTCAAATTTAGATGAACACGATTACCCGCCTATTGTTGCAAGGAAATTCATGCAGTGCCAATGCTACAGACAAATTAAATCTGAAGAAAAGCACGACCTTACCGAGTGATGATCTTGCTTGTTGAGAAGCTCTACATTACTCTGCTAATTTCATCAATTTCATTCATTCACTGGTTATCTTACTCTTATAAAATATATTAAATATCTATGGTTTTTGAAGCTAAGGCACTCCTTTTCTCTGAACTCTGATATACAAAGTCATCAGCTAAATCAGAGTGCAAAAGATACCTCAAATTTCTCATAAAGGATATTTGACTTTCAAGATAATCAGTATTGAAGGATCTATAAACGTTATCCAATTGTCGCAGGTTCTGGTGATCCAATGGGCTTACTCAGAGTAGCAGCAAAGGCCGGTGCCCGAGCCGGCGCGAAACTCGGTATGGAAGAAGCGGCCAAGAARGGAGCCGAGGCTGGAGCAATAGCAGGGGAAAAGGCAGGCGTTCAGGCAGGAGCACAAGCAGGTGCTGTGGCTGCCCGCAAAGCAGCTACAGAGATAGCTGTAAAGGCTCTTCAGCAAATTATGGCGAATATGACTAGCAATAAACACGTCGTAAACGTTTATACATCCGCAAATGGCTCCTCATCTTCTGCTGCCACAACTAACGTAAATGTAAACGCTGGAGCCAATTCGAATGCCGCAGGCAAGGCCAATGCATCAGGTGAAGGCCAAGGGACAGGGACTGGTACACCAGGAGGACCAGGTGGTCCAGGAGGAGATGGTTCAACCGGAAAAGGGAAGCCAGGGGGTACGGACGGGGGAGCWCCTGGTATTACTAAACCTGTGTTGGAACCGAAATCTGGCGAAAATATAAAAAAACTTGCTGAAAAGTATACTACTAAGTCTGGATCAGCTAAAAGAAGTGAGTTTAGCAGTACCTTAACATGTTTTATTATAATCTCTTTTTTGCTGATATATTTTATTTTAATTAATGAAGCTGTGTATACACAAATCTTACATATCTTATGATCATATATAAGATAAAAATCCGTATCTCCGCGCGCCCATGTAATATTCTGTTTATCATATAATTACATCTGAAAGCAAATTATGTTGTAGTAAAATACATTTTTGCTTACTTCCACTATATAGAGAAACCTCGAATGTGTTATTTTCACTAGTGAAAACATTACGAAATGGAAAAATAGAGGTATTTCATAGATAATTATGATATTAATGATAAAAAGATATATTACGTGGGCGCGCAAAGTGAGCGTAACGAATTGGCCAGACAGCTTGTTTGACGGAGATGAAAGTCGGAAAAATCTTTAATTCTAGCAAAGACCATTCAGTACTTTTGTTCTCTTGTTTTTGAGCGATGTCACACGTAAGTATTTCGTTTAACACGGCAGCAATAGGCCGAAGGCTAGGTCGACTTGAGTTTTACCTTTAGCCAATCAATCTATCTATCTATCTGTCTGTGTATTTTGTCGCGTTTGGACCACCGGAAGTTAAGAATTTAATAATTAACTATTGGGTTGGCTGTGACCGGAAGCTCAAACATACTATAGATGTACGAATATCGTTACTAAATGCTATATGCTACTTGCCTTTTATATGATAAAAAAACTATTCGTTTACAAATGTGGTATCTGTGATCTCATTGGAATGCATCAGTCTAGGCATCATAAGTACGCGCATGTGCAGATCGCATGGAGCTTCGAGTAGTATGCTTACAAAACTGAATCAATATCCTTTCTAGCGTTAGACAGTCTTGTGTGGGCAAATATTTCAAATAAGAACAAGAAGAAGCTTTGTTTATCAATGACAAAAAGGGAACTTTAATGATTTTATAGGTATCTTTAACTTTGTAAAGTATTTATTTTCTTGGCCTAGGAGGTCAACGTATTATATATCATGATATCACTTAGCGACATTTTGTCTACCAAGTTTGATTTTATCAGTCAAGCAAGAACTCTTTAAAAACGTTCATGGTGTTAATTACATGACCTTTTAGGTGAAGAAATTTTGCATATTTTGAACGAGACTCTCTTAGTAGACCGTGAGTTCGGCTATTTTGGAAAAAAAATTAAGAAATATATATATTTTTACTGTCTTTCTATATTTTCAAAACAGCTAGTCCGACTTCACGCTCCAAGAGCGTCTAGTCTGAGATAGCAGTTTGCATTGCATTGTGGTCTAGGTTCAGCACAAACATCTTTTGTTCATGCCGCCAAATATGGTGTTGTTTGTACTGAAGCTAGACCATAATGCACTATGATTTTGTATTTCGGAAAAGATCTATGCTGGGTCACCAAAAATGTTGGAATGTTCTTGTTCGGCGAGGGAGTTATTTGTCCTTCTTTCTTATAAAATCTTGTGAAACAACCTTGACTCTGAAATTAAAAAAAATTAGTGAAATTACTATTATTACTCTGACACACACTCATAATGCCTGTTACTGCGTTTACATTTTCAGTTATCATTGGAGCTGCGTACATCCTTCATTCTATGAATATTCCTGCAGCCCATGACTTCCGGAAGAACCTTTGTTGGAGAGGCAAATTTGGACGTGTTGTCCTGGGGCGAATGTGCCAGGTTTTCATTGCAAGGAAAGGTTTCGTGGAACATGAAAAAGGTCAACAGACAGTCGCGTGGGAGTCAGGTTGTGCACCAGGATACTTCATCATCCAGAAAAATTATAACTTCAAACTTGCCAAGTATTCTGACAACCCTAAGTTCTGTAAGTACCAGATTCATATCAGGTTCATTTATTCATTCAAAAATTTAGATTTTTGTACAAAGTTTGTGCCAGCTCTCCTGCAAGTAACTGAGAGCAAATCAAGGAAGGGTATGTCTTTTTATCATATGACCCGTATTTCGGCCCTACGCGCTCTCTCACTGAAACCTTTGGAAAAGGGTCACGTGATGGGGTCCGTACGCCTTTTCGCGACAGGTCCGTACAAACCCGTATTTTCCCGGCTTGAAGTTCCGCGCGCTTTTATTTATTTATTTACATTAAAAAACGCTGTCATATGATAAAATGCTTATTGACTGAGTTAGGTCGGGCCGTACGGGAAAATATTTGGCTCGAGGTTATGCCGTACGGACCGACGTACGGCCCTCCCACTCAGTCAATAAGTACATAATATGGTAGTTTGAAAGTACCACGTAGCAGGCTATTCATAAAATTTGCATAATCATCGTAGCCCAGGTAACCAAAATCATGGTGACAGTTAAAATAAAGGACGCTGTGATTTAAGAAACCAAGTATGAGAGTCCCTTGAGTACTTGAGGACTTAAACGAGTTCTAAACATCCTCGAATTACCCCAAAGTGCCTTTTTCACGATGATATTCCCGCCTATGTACATCGAAGAAATGTTGGCAAAACATTTTCTTTGTARTATTTTGACAAATATTTTTTTTGGYASATAGTAAAACAATTAGACCACTCACAATTAGACTACTTAACAATTAGACCTCGAGGTCGAGTGGACTACGAGCTAATAGCCCAAGAGGCCGAGTCCGCGAGGCCGAATGGGATATTAGCTCGTAGTCCACGAGGCCGAGARGTCTAATTGTTTTAGTATAAACATACTAATCAGTCAAATAGTGAAAACAAATTGAAATATCCTTAAAATAATTTATAATT